GTTGGTGTAAGGTGTACGTGCCCAAAAAATACCCCTGCCGTCCTGGGAAGGTCGTGCAGCTGCTCCAGGGACATCTTCGCCAGGGACTTGGGCTTGAGCAAGCCTGGGTCGGGCTTGACGTCCGGGCTGCCCTTGCCCCTGCCCTTGTCCTTCTGACGCCTGCCAACCAGGCCACTGCCTTTGGCGAGGGCACGCACGCCGCCCGTGATCTCCGAGCCGTCAAGCTCCGACAATGCGTCTTGGAAGAGACTCTGATAGGTGTGGCTCCAGACGGCGCTCCACATCCAATCGTCGAAGTCGTTGCCGTCGTCGTCAACGTCGACGGGCGCTGGGCCCTTCTCGCCAGACGTCGGGCTCGTCTTCTTCGAGGGCTTCATGGGTGTCGCCGCGGGCGCGGTGCTCGCCACGGAGGTCGTAGTCAGGGCTTCCGACGGCTGGCCGAGGGCGAAGTCCTTGAGCTTGGTCAACCTGGCGATCTGCTTGGCCGAAAGAACACCAGTGCACTGGTCCCACCGCTTAGAGTCCCTGAGGCGTCTGATATGGTGGAATATGGTGATGAGCTCAGTCACCTTTTTGTCGGCCCACTTATCGACGCCATCAGCGCCGAAGAGGTTGTGCTCCTTGGCCACGCGCACCAACGCGACCTTGAGATCGGGCTTGTGCGGCCTGCAATCGGGCGACCACGGGGCGACCGCCCTGATGACGCCCTCCGCGGCCAGCAGCGACTCCCCCGACGCTGCCATGCTCGTGTTGCGGCGCCCCCCTGGCGTCCTGCTGTCGTAGTCGCCCATGTCGAAGCCAGCCTGGGCACGAAAGAACTATGATGATAGCGAGCCAGAACGTGGGGGAGTAACAATGAAGTTATGTGGATGTTTAGAGGAGAGGGGAAGCGGAGAAGAGGCCCGAGAGGGAGCCCAGCCCCCCTGGTCGGACAAAAGGGGCCATTGTGGCAGGCGCAGGCCCACGCTCCTCCTGGCACAGCTCGTCAAGACTGGTGTACAGAGACATCGTCGCGCGGGGGGGGGCAGCTGGGCGACTTGAGACAACGCGGAATGTGATGCGGGGAAACCATTCGACCCCCGCCCGCCCACCTCGCCATCATCAATTTCCCACGCAAATTCCGCGCCGTGTCCCGTCGCACCAGGCGCGGCGGCGGGGTGAACTCGGAGGTGGGGGGGGGGCGGTCTGCCACCGACTCTCGCGGCCTGGCGAAACTGGTTCTAGCCTAAAATGGCTGAGGGGGAAGCGGTGGCGTCGCGGGCTGCCGCGGCGTAGGGGCAACTGCTGGGCCCCCTACAAACATGACCTAACACGAGCACGTTAAGGCAACTGTTAGGGCACCCGCCCTGGCGAGATCCACCGTCTCTGGGAGGAACATGACCTAACACGTGCATTAACGTTAGGTCAAATGTTAGGGCACCCGCCCTGGCGAGATCCCCCCCTCCCTGTGAGGAAGGCGATGAGGAGGGGAGAAATGCGACATGGACGCTGATTATGCGGGGAGTGGGCGATCGAACGGGGGGGCGGGTGGCGAGAGGATGTCGGGAGCGTGGGAATGCGGCCACGGGGAGGACCGCATCGTCATCATCGTCGGTATCGTCATCGTCGCCATCATCGTCACCACCGCCATCATCAACACCGCCATCATCACCACCATCACCACCATCACCACCATCATCATCATCATCATCATCATCATCATCATCATCATCGTTATCATCGTCATTGTCACCATCACCATCTTCATCATCACCGTCGCCGTTTTTGTTTTCTATCTGACCACCCCTACGGGGCCACGAACCACGTGGAACCCTCCTTGGCCGTGGTGAGCTCCCGCTTGAGGCAATATGCCACCTGCCTGCGGGGAGAAGCGCGGTAATGGGGGAGGCGTGCATCCTCAACGCCCTGCACCCCCACCCACGCTAACCGAACAGAAACAACCATTGTTTGGGTTCCGAAGCGGCCCGCGCTGCGGGCCGCCCCACACCATGTACAAGTTCGCCAGCTGACCGTTGTCGCCCCGCTCCATGCGGAGCCACATAGCATGGCCACCTGGCGCGCACACGCCGCGCCACCATCGTTGGCCCCACGGGCTCCCAACGGAGGGGATATCCCACTCCGCTGGGGCTTGCCAGAGTGCCTCGCTGGGCATCCGCCAAGCCCGTGGCGCCCACCTGGGCAGTGGCTTGGCCCCCGCGCCAGCCAGCCACCACGCGGGCTTCGGGCCAGGGTGCCCGTTCACCATCCTTGAACCGCTACGGTCGTCGGGCAGGGTGCCCGTTCGTCGTCAGCATCGCCATCGTCATCACCATCATCGTCGTCATCACCACCGCACTGTCCTAACTATTAATCCTCATCATCATTCAGTATCCTCCGTATTATCACCGTCATCGTCGTCGTCGACGTTGCAGTCATCATCACCATCCTCATCATTATCATCATCATCCTCGTCGCCAACATCATCGCTACCACTGTCATCATCATCCTCACCATTACCATCACCTCCACCATCATCATCACCACCATAGCCATCATCATAATCGTTATCGTCGTCGTCATTGGCTGGCTGCGAACGCAGGGGACGTTAAAGGGGGATAGGCTGAGAAAGGCGGGATGGACAAGAATGCAGGGTGGGTTTGGAGGGAAACGGGCGGGATGGACAATACCGCGACCCCTCCATCTACCCCACTGCCCAATCCCTTCCGACCTCCTCCGCTGCCTAGTTTTACGAGCCTGCCATGCCCCTCCCTCCTCCCCATCCTCTTCCTCCTCCTCCTCCTCCTCTTCCGCCCCCCCCTCCCCCTCCATCTCTTAATATCATCCTCCTTCCTCCTCGTCATCTTTCTTTCCTGGGGTTGGAACTTTCAAGCTTCGGGGCTAGTCAGCACGAACCACAACGCGTCTCGGCGGGCACGGGGGGACGACGACGCGACGACGACGCGACGACGACGACGACGACGGGATGGGGGGGCGAAGGAAGAGGACGAGGGAGAGAAGAGAAGGGGGAGAAGAAAAAGGAATCGAGCATGAAAAGGGGGATGAGAAAGAGAAGGGAAGACTAAGAGGAGAAGAGGGATGAGACGGAGAAGAGGAGGAGGCTCTCAAGACGACTAGCGCGCCAGCTCCACGAAATCCCCGCATCCGCTCAAGTTGCATCTTATCCAAATATCAATTGAAGGCTTGAAATATCAATACCCGAAATCTCATTCCCGATTTCCGATAATCCAATATCGAGCGATGCAGCGAAATATCAAATTCCATGCGCGATATCAAAATATCAGAAAATATTGATATTGATATTGGTACCCATATTGATATTGATATTGGGACCAATATTGATAACATCATTGATATCATAATGGCTGATATCATTGATGTTATCAATATCAATCCGCGCGTTGGAAACTGATATTTTGAGATCTCAAAAAACGCGCGGGACGTATTCTGATATTTTGATATCGCGCATGGAAATTGATATTATCGCAGCATCGCGCGAAATTCTAATATCGGGAATGATATTTTGGGATATTGATATTTCAACCCTTAAATTGATATTTGGATGCTTTGGGGGGGGGGGGGGGGGGGGGAGGGGGCGCTGCGCGGCCATGGCGGTCGGAGGTGCGTCCGGGAGGCGGGGCTAGGCGAATGCCGGGGGCGCAGCGCGCTGCGGGAGCCGCCTCGGGGCCCCCTGGGGCCGCCCCGCGGCCTGCTGATCGCAACCCCGCGTTTGTGATCAGCGGGGCCCGCGGGCGTTCCTGGGGGCCCCAGGCGACCCCCAAGGCCTCGGCGGCCCCGGTCGGCAGGCCCCCAGGCGCGGGCCTGGGAGCTGGGGGGGGTCGGCCCGGCTGGGTTTTTGTCGCGAGCGGATCGGTCGGACGACCCAGGGGCCCCAGAGGCCGCCGGCAGACACCCAGGGGCGGCCAGCTCAGGTGTGGCGTAACGCCTATTCCTGCAGCGGGCCGCCTCCGGGCGCCGTCGGTGGCGTCCGGCGGCGAGCTCGGGGGGGGGGGGGTTGGGGCTGCCGCCGTCGTTGGCCCGGCCCGACGCTGCTCCCCATGCCACCCTGCTTTGGCGAAGGTGCTTACCGCGCAGCCACCCGCCCCAAGCGGGGCAGCCAAAGCAACCCCCCGCGCGGCACTCGTCCAGCCCAGCTTTGGGGCGGCCGCCGGGGGACCCCTCCCCCAGGGGGCCGGCGGGCAGGGGCCCCCCACGGCAGTGTTGGGTAAGTACCATCAGCCACGCCCCCTGGCCGTGGGGAGGGGCCGCCGCGGGCTGGGCGTTAGGAGGCCCTCCTGCGGGAGCTATACATGCCCGCGCCAGGCGGCCCAGCCGGGCGCGCCGCCCGACCGCGGGCGCGTCAAGCGGTCGGGAGGAAGGAAGGAGGAAGAGCAGGAGAAGTAGGACGAGGGGTAGGAGGCAAGGCAAGGCAAGGCAAGGCATGAGGACTGGCTGAGGAGTGTGACGAGCGCTAGGGATAATCGGATAGTGACAGCGCATGCTAGCCAGATGTCAATTCGCAGCCAGACGCCCTCGCGAGCACACGAAGGGTGCGCCCTGCGGAGGGACAAATTGTATTGGGCGGAGTTTGAGCGACCTCGAGAGCCCGATTCCCCTTGCAGCGCCTGGCGCTCCTGCAAGATCACTGCCCTCCAGCTGAAAGACCAGCAGCAACAGGGACCCTCAGGGAGGAGGCACGAGGAACCAGTAGTAGGAGGAGGAGCAACGAGGAGGAGCAGGAGGAGGAAGAGGAGGAGGAGCCAGGAGAAGGAGGAGGAGGAGGAGGAGGAGCAGCAGCAGGAGGAGGAGGAGGAGAAAAAGGAGGTCAAGGAGGAGGAGGAGGAGGAGGAGGAGGAGGAGGAGAAGGAGAAGGAGGAGACGGAAGAGGAAAGGATGAGGAGGAGGAGGAGGAGGAGCAGCAGGAGGAGGAGGAGAAGGAGGTGAAGGTAGGAGGAGGTCGGCGCGGGCGCACCCCGCCAGCCGCCGCGGACGGCTTGCCTCAGGAAGGATCCGGCGAGGCCATCATCCTGGGCGCCTGGAAGGCGGGCGGCCGCAGCGCCCGCTCTTCTCTGCGGCCGACGCGCCGGCGGCTCCACTGTACCTCCGAAGGGCTCCAGGGATTGGTGTCTCGGAACGGCGATAGGGGCGAGTTGCCCAGGGGCGGGCATTACACGCATTCGCCAGGGAGCCTTTTTTCGAAGACATGGATCATCGGCGCACCCGAGTACACGTATTGCTCTCCCCTGGGCTATTCGCCCTTATCGTCGCCTCTGAGTGTGAGTGCAAGTGGTCATCGAGAAAAGAACCCCTGGCCTTATGAGCACGATGAAGACGTGGCCTGATTTGGGTTCCCGTCTGTGCATTAGCGATCGGAAGTCTGGGCGTTTTGGCTCGATACGTCTGCACAAAAGACACCCTATCCCTAATGTTCCTGGCCCTCCTCACGTATGTCCCCTCCCACAGGGTTGGGGGTAATGGTATTGCTTATCAAACGGGGTCGGCCACGGCGCCAGACCTTACAGGATCCTGCAGGGCCAGAGCTGCACTGGCCTGGGCAAGTGCGCAGGATCCTGCAGAGCCTGAATGGCCCGGGCTTGGATTCACCCGGGTAAGCAGGTCCCCGATCGACGCCGCCGATGCATCGGCGATGCGTTGTCGATGCGGCGCGGTCCTCTGACATCTGTTCGGACCCCATTTGGGAGGCATCCAGCCAGATTGGGGTGCCGGAGAGTAATGGAGTTTCCCCTGCCCCACTGGTTGCGGAGCTGGTAGTGTCTTCGGAACGTTGTTTTAAGATTGTCGGCACTTCGCCCGCATGTTACGCATATGTTTCTTATCATGACGGATGTGCGGATGTGTTGTGAATTGTTTGGAAGTTCATGTGGGTGTTGTTAGTCAGATTGTTCTGTCGTGACCGAAAGGTTTCCAATAGTTCTCTGATGCTAACTGTTAACTTCCTGCAGTTTCTGGTGCTTCGAGGATGTCTAACATTTCCGGACGTTTCCTGGACGCGCGGCGCTTCCTATCAGCTACATCTCATCGAGAATCGAGAGCGTTCCCGGGATGCCGGGATCGTCCCCAACGGCCGCTTGGGACCCGAGCCATATGGTTTGACAGCCCGCAGCCACCGTCGTTGTTGTCGTCGTTGTCTTCCTCCTCCTCCTTGTAGCAACGTCGTGCAGTCGATCCTTCAGGATAAGAGCCACTTTGATGTTGAAAGTGGGTCCATCGCCCTGTTGCTCCTCGTGCATGCAGACGGAGGTGAGGCACAAAAGAGGCTTTGTTCCTTATCCAAGGTTCCTTGTTGCGTTGGCTGTGGTCGTCGTAGCAACCGCCGCTGGAGAGGAAGCTGCGAAGCGGCGTTGTAGCGGGGTACACTTGTGCCTTTAAACAAGGTTGTTGCGTTGCCAGTTGCGGTCTCTCGGGAGGGGGGGAGGGGGGGACCTCTTTGGGAGCCTTCTGGGGCCTCTTGAGAGCTCCATCTCCACGCCCTCCTGCTCCTGCCACTTCTCATCCCCGGGGTGAGCCGTACAAGGCTGGTCACACGCGCGCGCATGCAATCTGCTCTGACCTGAGCGATCAAGGAAGTGCACCCCGCAGACTTCTCGGCCTCCACGTGCGCTGTCCGCTGCGTATCTTCAGCGTGCCGGCAGCATGTACTTCGAGGGTACCAAACCCAGAGATCCAACGTCGTGATTTGTTCTATACGGCGTCCCCGGAAGTCTCGACCCATTCCCCCGGGACCAGTTTTTCATCCTGAGTCATTTTTTGACGGTCCCGTGGCCCGGCGAGGGCACGTAGAGGCCGAACATTGCGGAAAACCGCCGTCTTGATTTGTTCAATACGTTGGATCTCTGGGAATGACGAGGTCTTCCGCCGGGCACGCGTTCGGCCAATCACGGAACAGCTCTTCGACCAGCAGGTGGTGCTTCTCCATCGTGCCCGACGATCGTCCGCGGGAGGCGCGCTGCGGCGCAATGCTTTCGTAGGCGCGCTGGTGCGCCACATGATCGGAACGTTCGTCCGCAGGGTTGGGCGCCCAAGGTAAGGTAGCACGTCGCAGGTAGCGAACGAAGCTGTGAAGAGATGATGGGCCTGCTTTCCACCACCACCACCACCACAAGTTGGATGGGAGGAAGGAGGAGGAGGAGGAGGAGGAGGACCCCCTCCCCCTCCAACTTATGGTGGCGGTGGTGGAAAACAGGCCCTTCAAAGAGATGCCCCGACCGTAGTCAGATGGAGCAGGCCATGGCAGATCCGTCCCCAGGGTCTGGACAGCGCCGCCAGCACCTTAACGGGCACGCCCGCGAGGCCTCCCCGCCGCGCGTGGTCGTGATGGCCTCCCTCCTCCCTCTTCTCCCTGTTTTGTTGCAGCCCTCCTCTTGCCCCCCTGTCTCCTTCGAGTCGACGTCCCAGTGTTGCTCAACGAGCGGTGGTTGTCGCCCACCGCTCCATGGCACCATGCACGTTGTGAGCGGTGCCCGAGGGGGCTTCTCGATTGCTTACTGATTGCTAAGCCAAGCTCTGCTGCCGATGCGCCGTCGGAGCGCCTGGCTTCCCTGTCTGTCGTCCTCCTCCTCCTCCTCCTCCTCCTCTTCTTCATCATCATCGTCATCATCATCATCATCATCATCATCATCATCATCATCATCATCATCATCATCATCATCATCATCATCATCATCATCATCATCATCCCCGCTGGGATCTCCAGGGGTGTCCAGACGCTTCTGGGGATCCCCAGAGGACCCGCCAGGCAGAATCCTGACCGTATCGTGTTGGCCCTCGACGGTGGATCTCGAAACCAGCACAGGATGGCCCAGGCGCGGCCGTGGACCGCCCTGCGACGGCCCGGAGAGGCGCCCAAGGCACCCGCAGGCTAGCCGAGGGCAGGATCACGATGGGCCAACACCAGCACAAGAAGGCCCCGGCAGGGCCCACGACCGCCCCAAAGGTGGCCCCGAGAGAGCAGAATGGTTGTCCGGCACGTGCCAAGGAGGGCCCCGGTACCCCCAACAAACGTCCCCAGGGCTCCTCCAGACGGCTGCGACCCTTCAAGACGACCTAGACACGTCTCCTGGGGGGTGCTGGAGGTGTTCACGATGCCCTCCAGACGGCTCTGTAGACATTTCCGACGCCGCCGGGCCGCCACCCCCTGCCGGAGCATAGACATTTGTGACAAAAATGGAACAGTTGATCTGGTATCGGTTACAGCGGTTTCGGGGTCCCCCTTGCGATCGCAGCTCGGAGCCTCAACCTGCTCGTCGCCCATTTGGCTCTGGCTTCTTGGCACGTATGCGAACAGAGCTCGGTCGTGCCGCCTAGTATGAATAGAGCCGTTGCTCGCTGGCTCGCCCCCTGGCGGCGAAATGTATCAAGGCCTTGGTGCACGCTTCGTGTCCTAAAGGGGCCCCAAGGGGGCCACCTGACCTGGGGCCCAAAAGGTGCGTTTTTCAGTTTTCACCGAAAGTCGGTTCCTTCAAGTGTTTTGATAGTACTACTGCAGCTACGGACCTGAGAATTTCACAGGCAGACGCGGCATAACCCACTACAGGTGCGAAAAATACCCGTTCTCAAAACGAATGTTCAAATCTCTCAGAAAGTTCGGCGAAAGGTGCACGGTTCTTCCCCCCCCCATGTGTCGCCTCCCCATTACGACCCTTTCCTTGGGACCGGCTTCTCGTCCCAAGCCGCTCCTTGACAGCCCCGGGGGCCGAAAACAGAGGTGCCGAAAACGCTCAAGCCCTGCAGTTTCGAGCGCCTGGGGGTCTGAGCCCTTGCCTCGCCAGACCCCTCGAATCATGAACAAAAGCACGACGAGAGGTTTTCCGCTGTTTTCGCGCGCTGGGGCACTTACCGGGCCCTGGGACCGTCAAGAAACGAGTCAGCATAACAAAGCAACGGTCCTGAGGAATGGGTCGAGAGCCCTGGGGGTCGACGACATGAAAAAAAGCGGGACTTCTTTAGCAAGTGCACGCGCAGAACATCATACAATTTCCCCAGACTGTGTTAAGCATTCATGGCTTGTACTTTGCTCGTGAGCAGTGCCTGCACCTGGGCGCGTGCATGCCTTGGCAGATACTCGGGTGGGAATGCCGGGGCTTCGCCCGGTGGACGCATCGTGGGCTTGCCGAGGGTTCGCCGCATGGGCGGCCGTGGGCGCCGCGCGGGCGCCCCGTGCGCTGGCTGGGCTGTGTGGGGATAGCCGCAGGGGTGGGACGCATCGACCCCCGACCGCCCGCTCACCGCCGACGGGGGCCCGACGGCCCACCCCGCCGAGGAGCGTGCGGATCCGCTGTCGGGGGCCTGTCGCCGACCTCTCGGCGGTGCATCGCCGATTCCAGTGTCGATTCCCCCCACCCCCCCCCCCCCCCCCCCCCCCGAGCTGGCCCCGCCTAACGGTGCCCATCCTCCTCTCCTCCTCCTCCTCCTCCTCCTCCGCCTCCTCCTCCTCCTCCACCTCCTCCTCCTCCTCATCCTCCTCTCCGCCTCCTGCTTGTCCTCCTCCTCCTCCTCCTCCTCCGCCTCCTCCTCCTGCTCCTCCCTCCTCCTCCTCTCCTCCTCTCCTCCTCCCTCCTCCTCCTCCTCCTCCTCCTCCTCCTCCCCCCTCCTCCTCCTTGTCCTCCTCCTCCTCCTCTCCTCCTCCTCCTCCTCCTCTCTCCTCCTCCTCCTCCTCTCCTCCTCCTACCTCCTCCTCCTCCTCCTCTCCTCCTCCTCCTCCGCTGTTGGGGGCCTGTCGCCGATCTATCGGCGGTGCAGCGCCGATTCCAGGTCGATGCCTCCCCCCCCGAGCTGGCCCCCCCTCCTAACGTGAAGTCGGGCCTGTCCTCCTACAGGGGTGTGTGGGACGATTTTTTTTTAGTAATAATCAAACAATGCCCCCACATGGTCAAAGAATGCTCAGAAAATCGTCTATTTTTGAATATCCCTCCTGTACAGGGACAGGCCCGACTTAACCCTAACGCTGCCCCCATCCTCCCCCCCGTCCTGCGCTGCTCGCCAGGGCGCGATCCTCCGCCACGGCGTCGTCGGCAGCATGCAGCGCACCGACGGCGGACAGTGGGAGCTCCGGGGTCGCCGGCACGTCAAGGTGCCCAGCCCTCATCCTCCTGCTCCTCCTCGATCTTCGACCCACCTCTCTCTACTCGATCCTCCTCCTCCTCCTCCTCCTCCTCCTCCTCCTCCTCCTCTTCCTCCTCCTCCTAGTGGAAGGGTTCGCATGGCATCGCCGCCCCATTCCGGCACACCCTCACACGTTTTCTCGCCCCATGGGGAGTTCCACCTGAGGCCCCAGTGGGAAGGTTCGCATGACACCGCCGCCCCATTCCGGCACACCCCTCCCTTGTTGTGGCCCCATAGGGAGCTCCACCCAAGGCCTCAGTCGGAGGGTTCGCATGGCACCGCCGTCCCATGTCGACACACCCCTCACGCTTCGTGGCCGCATAGGGAGCTCCATCTGAGGCCCCAGTGGAAGAGTTCGCATGGCATCGCCGCCCCATTCCGGCACACACACACACACACACACACACACACCACACGTTTCGCGGCCCCGTAGAGAGCTCCACCTGAGGCCCCAGTGGGAGGGTTCGCATGGCACCGCCGCCCCATTTCGGCACACCCCTCACACGTTTCGTGGCCCCATAGGGAGCTCCACCTGAGGCCCCAGTGGGAGGGCTGGCATGGCACGGCCGCGCCGTTTCGGCACACCCCTCACCCGCACGGCGGCCCCGCCCCATCTCGGCACACGAGTCACACGCTTCGTAGCGCCATGAGATCCACCAAAGGTGATACTCACAACGACGGTTCTCACAACTGCTTATGGATGGGTCCTTCGCAGGGATCGATTGGTGTCCAAGGTTTTGGAACATTTGGGAGTGCTTTCGGGGCCCGAGGGTGCTTTCTATCAGCTGCGCTTCACCGAGAGGCGTCAGGGGGTGCCGGGATCCTCCCGAACGGCCGCCCGAGGCCCGATATGTCGTCGGGAAGCCGACTCGGGTGAGCGGGCCCAAAGGCACTTCGCACACCGGCAGCTGGAGCCGAAGCCAGAGCCGGCGGTGCGTAGAAGTGAAAAGGGCCTGCTCGCTCGGTGAGTAACACCTTGTTGAGCGTGGTTCTGAGACGCGTTTGGTTCTCCTTGGGCCTCCAGACTCCAGAGGCTTGCGTGGACCCCTGGAGCCCTCCAGAGACTTCTCCTCCTCCTCCTCCTCCTCCTCCTCCTCCTGCTCCTCCTCCTCATCCTCCATCTCCTCCTCCGTCTCCTCCTCCACCTCACCATTACTGCCGCGCGATCAGTCATTGTGGCTGTCGTCAGCTCCCAGAGGGGCTGGGCCCTTCACGCGACTAGCGCGGCTGTTTGCGGACGGCACCAGCAGGCGCCCCTTGTTTGTCTCAATGTTTGTTTGCCTGTAGACGTCCTAGCGACATGCATCGAGAACGTGTCCAGTGATGCCCACCCCACTATTCTGCCCCAAACTATAGCAATGACGTCCTCTGTCATTGCAATGGCGTCCTCCGCTATTGCACTGGCTTCGTCTGCTGCTGCAGCGGTTTCATTTGGCTGTTCCAATGGCATTCCCAACAATCGCCAAACAATCATCAAATTCAGGGCTAGAGTAGAGTAGATCAGAGTGGAAAAGAGAAGAGAAGCGAAGAGAAGAACAGAGAAGAGAAGAGAAGATATGATAATATCATAGTGTGGTATATGAGAATAGAGTAGAGCAAAGCGGAGCAGAGTAGAGTAGAGGACGGGAGACTAGAGTACAAGTGGAGCCCAGTACAATAGGAGTACAGTAGAGTTGAGGAGGTGTCCAGTAGAGTAGAAGTAGAGTAGGGTAGGCTAGGGTAGAGTAGAGTAAAGCAGAGTAGAGCAGAGTAGGGTAGAGTGTGGAGTAGAGCATGATATAATCGAGCAGCGCAGAGTAGAGTAGAGAAGAGTAGATGATTCGAGTGGAGGAGAGGAGAGGAGAAAAGATGAGAGGGGAGGAGAGCAGAAGAGAAGCAGAGCAGGGGCAGGATCGAGTAGGAGTATGGTACAGTACAGTAAGGTAGAGTAGAGTATAGAAGAGCAGGGTACTGTAGTGTAGAGTAGGGTGGAGTAGAGTAGAGTAGAGTAGGGCAGATGGTAGAGTAGAGTACGATAGGGTGGAGTCGAGCGGAGTAGAGTCCACCGCAGTCCAGTCCAGTCTACTCCAGTCGAGTCGACCTCAGTCCACTCCAGTCCACCTGACTCTAGTCTTCTAGTCTATTTGGAGTCTGACGGATCGATCTGTGTTTGTCTCGGGCCCCCGACCTCTCGACCCTTTCCTTGGGACCAGCGTTTCTCTCTGAGGCGTTGTCTGACAGCCCAGGGGGGTGGGCGAGATCGGCTCCTTGGGTCCGAAAACACATGTTGTGCAGCTGTCGTCGATGGGTGTGTTTCATAGGGAGATCCTATACGTTGCACCCCCCCCTCCACTCCTCCTCTGAGAAGCCGTTATCACTGGGTCTCCAGCCATGTTTTGACCCAAGTCGGCACGTGTCTTCATGGTGCTCGGGGTCCTCACGAGGCTGCTAGGGGAGATCAGCTGCAGCATTGCGAGGTTTTGCTCGGGATGGGTGCACGGCCCTCGCAAGCAAGATCAAGGATTTGCAGCATACGTTAGGGAGGTCGATGGCCGCCCAGCGAAGCCCGATACGTCCGAGCCTCGGCCGATGACCATACGGAGAGAGACTGTACCCCTCGGCAGCGCCGTGACCGGACTTTACGGGAAGAGCTAGTTGCTTCGTTTTGTTTGCGCAGGTGCGTCGTCGTTTGCTTGTCTTCCTTATTGGTGTGTTCCTCGTGCCCGTGTTGTTTTGCGCATTGGTCTTCGGCCCATCCCGCCACCATGCCAGGGTTGTGGATCTGAGTTCTCAGGGGTGCCTCTTGGGTATTTTCGGAGCACTCTCGCGGGCCTCTTGGGGGCAGTTTGGGGGCCTCTTGGCAGCCTCTTGAAGGGCCTCTCTGGTACCTCCCATGCCGCCCATTCCTTTGGACTCGTAGTCAATCGGCCTCGGGTGCGACCAAGCAAGGAACGCTTGAGACACACAGTGAGGCATATAGTCTGTATGGCCCAAGCAGTACCGAGCTTGTTACCAGTGGAGTGGTATCGGCTGTATGCCTCAAGTGGTACCAAACAAGTGCCGCTACAGTCGTAACAGTTAATCGATTTCGCGTGTGTGCCCCAATGTGGTAACAGACAATTACAACTTGAAGCTTGTCGTCGGTATACTTCCAGTGGTACCGACCTTGTACCACTTGAGGCAGGTCCTCTGTACTCGAGTGGTAACCGGTCTGTACCACAGGAGGCACATCGTCTGTATGCCTCAAGTGGTACCATTCATGTACCACTTGAGGCGCGTCGTCCCGTTGTGGGTCAGAGGCCTTTTGACTGTTCGTTGGGCTATCGTGGTAGGCCTCTCAGGGGCCTCTTGGAGGCAGTTTTGAAGCCTCAGGGGGCAGTTTTGGGGCCTCTTCGGGGCCTCTTGGAGGCCTCTTGGGGCCTACTGGTGCCCTCTTGGGGCCTACTGGGGCCATCTCAGGGCGCAGAGGTGGAATTTTCGGTTCGTGGTCCCCCTCTTGGACCTCTCTTGGGACCGTCTTGGGGCCGTCTTGGGCGCCTCTTGGGGCCGTCTTGGGGCCCTCTTAGGTCGTCTTGGCGACCTCTTCGGCGATCTCGGGGGCCTCCGGGGCTGTTTTGGAGCGTCGAGAAGCCGAAGAGGCGAGAAGACCTAAAACCTCCGAGCATCAATGGAAATCAATGATGTGGGCCTTTGGGGGCCTCGGGAGGCCGCTTGGAGGCCTCTTGGGGCGTCTTGGAGGCCTCTTGGACCGTCTTGGGGCCATCTTGGCGCGCCTTGGAGCGTTCTCTGGGCGTCTCGAGGCCCTCTTGGACCATCTTGGGCCACCTGTTGCCCTCTTGGCGCGTCTTGGGGCGTTCTCGGGGAGCCCAGGGGGCACGCGCCAAACCCCAAGAGATTTGCAATTTGGAGCCACGGCCCCTGAAAGACTCCTCAGGATTGAAGACAACCTTGAGAAATTACTGTGGGCACAGGAACTGAGGACACGCCCACTCCGTGCCCAGAGGCACGCTGGCAGATATACTACATATGCAGGGGCTGTGCGCAGTCTCGTCCACGGATCCGTTCAGAGTCCTGCTGTGGTGGTCAGGTTGCTCTGGGCGCTCGTTCATCTTCTGCTGTTTCGTCTTTCTCCTCTTGTGCGGCCCTCCCTTCGACCAGTGCCATTCCTGTCCCTCGTCCTCATCCGCCTCCCCCTCCTGCCGCCGTTCACCCGGTTGGCCTTGACGAACACACCCCACGAGGAGCAGCGGGCGTCTCTTGCCACTGGGCGGTTTCCGCTCCCGGATCCTGGCCGCTTGCTCCCCCGTCTCTTTGGGCCGGGTGTCCTCCTCCTCACCCTGCTTCACGTGATCCTTCCCCTCCCTCCCCGTCAAGTCCTCCTATCCCCGGCATCTTCCTCTCCTCCTCCTCCCCCTCTTCCCCCTCCACCGCCTCCTCCCTCTGCCTTCGCCATCGACATCCTCCACCCCCTCGTCCGTCTCAGCCCCCTCATCCTCATGCTCCCTCCTCGTCTCCATCCCCAGCACATCCGATGTTCTCCTCACTCTTCCTCGTCTTCCTCGCAGTCGTCATCAGAATCCTCCTCATCCACCTGCGCATTCCCCGCACGCAGAAACTGGAGATGCTACATTAGGGCCTAGCGGCGGCGCAGCGAGTCACCCGATGCGCTTGCCACGCCAGGGCCGTATGGCGCATGCAGTCTATGACCCCAACGCCTGTCCTAAAGGTCAGTCTTATATCTGCTCCCCCTCAACTCCCTTGCCCGCCGCGTCATTACCCAGCCCGAGCAGCTGGTTGGAAGCGAGAGCGAGAGGTGGCTACAGCACAGGCATCGGGCAGCGAAGATCTGCATCGATCGGCTGCCTGATGCCTCACCCTCCTCCCTCTCTCTCCCTTTTCCCGCACGCTTTGCTGCGCAGATGCTCAAGATGCTCCACCTCTTTTCCAACCCTGCTCCTGGGGCCTTCGGTGGAGTTCCCTACACTCACGAAGCGACGTGTGAGGGATGTGCCATTTTGGACCCGAGGCGCCATGCGAACCAGGCTACCGAGGCCCTCAGTGGAGCTCCTTATGGGGCCACGAGGCGTGTGTAGGGTGTGTTGGCCCTTCCAAGCTCCGGCCCCCCCACCCACTCTCCGTCCCCAGGTGTTGCCGCCGATAGAGCGGACCTTAGGCGCCGAGCTTCGGATGGTTTTTTACGCCGGCCCCCATGTCGTGTCGTGTGGATGTTTGCCTACGTGGTGGTGAATGGGGTGAGGAGGAGGAGGAGGAGGAGGAGGAGGAGGAGGAGGAGGAGGCGGAGGAGGAGGAGGAGGAGGAGGAGAAGGAGGAGGAGGAGAAGGAGGAGGAAGCTTACTGCGTTGTCGCAGCGCTGGCGAAGGCGCAGCGCGGTCTGGGCGGCGGCGGACGGGCCGCGGAATCGTAAGTTGAGCACGGGAGGCGCGGAGGATCGGCGCTGCTCCTCCCAGTCTCTCGATTGTTCGGCACGTGCTGCACGTGCCCAGATGCTGCAGCAGGCTGAGGTAGAGCGGTGATGACCTATGGACTTCCCTGGGCTACGTGCGAGGAGAGGGCCATGCGGCCGCGGAGGCTGGGCAAAGGCTGGGCTCGCGCTCGGGGCATGGGGAAGTTTACGAGGAGTGCGGGGGCGGCAGGCTCCCGTGGGGAGTCGTGCGAGGGGAGAGTCGGCCAGGACGGGCACCAACGCTGGCGGAGGATTCGGCAGTGCTCCTCGGGGCTCAAGGGGACGGGGGTCAATGCAAACGGCGGCTAGCCAGAGCGTCAGATCTTGCAGGATCCTGCGGGGGAGGAAGGCGAAGAGAAGCGCCCTGGTTTTTTTGGGGGGCAGGCGTTTTTCTGTCTGCGCGGAGTTGCCCCGTCGGCGCGCTCGTGCGATCCTGGCGGGGTGTTTTTTTTCCAGGCGCGGAGCGGGCCCCCCGATGCGCACTGTCGGCCGCAGCCCCCACGAGCCGCGAGCTCGGGGCTCGGGCACGCGGCGCCGCCCCTGCGACGGAGCTGGTGCGCGCCAGGCGCCCGCGCGAGCGCCCGAGGTGTGCCCCTGCCCTCGGGCGGGATGTACACATGACCGCCGCCTGGACCAAATTTCGCGGTCCTCGGCAGGCGGCGGATATGGACAGATTCGGCCCCCCAGGGCCTCTATATGTATGTGTGTATATATACATATATATATGTATATATATATACATATATACACATCTATATATATATATATATATATATATACAGAAAGGAACCCTGTGCGGGCTGGTTTTCGGAGATCCGTGGGGCCGTCCGCGATGCCTTTGGACTTGAATCCAGCAAGACGTTATCAGAGAACCCTCGGTGGGATGAGGCGGGAGAGGTCTTCGGTAAAGCGCGCGGGACACAATTAGAAACTCATAGCACGCAAACAGATCCCCAGAGCTCGTGCATAGAATTCTGTAAGCCTGAATACGAAAACTAAAACAACACAAGGAAAACCCAAAAACCAAAAAAAAACATCCCTGGGGAGATCCTGGGGGAAATCTCCACTGAAATTTGTTTGGTGTTGGTTTTTTGTTTTCCTTATGTTTTTTTGGTTCTGAGCTGGAATTTTTTTTACACAAAAAAGAAAGGACACAAAAAAAAAAAAAAACTGGGGAGGTCCTGGGGGAAATATCTTGAGGGTTTCTTGTTTTCCTTATGTTTTCTTGGTTCTGAGATCAAGAAATCAAACAAAAACACACAAGGATTTTTGTTTTCGGAAGGAAAAAACCCAAAAAAAAAAAAAAAAAAAAAAAAAAAAAAAAAAAAAAATTTTTTTTGGTTGCCGGAAGGAAAACCCCCTCCCCCCCCCACAAAAAAAAAATGTGTTTGTTGGTGTATGAAATGAAAACCCAAAAAAAAAACATTGTTTTTTTTGTTTTTGAAATGAAAACCCAAAAAGACCTAAGGAAAACCAAACAAACAAAACAAACAAAAAAACAAAAAAAAATCCTGCAGAAGTCTTTGGGGGAAAAACTTCTCCAGGGATTGGTTTTTTGGTTGTTTGGTTTTCCTTTGTTTTGTTTGCTCGGAGGTGAAACACAAAAAAAAAACAATGCTTTTTTTTTGTTTCTGGATGAAAAACCAAAGAAAACACAATGTTTTGCTGGTTTTTGAAATGGGAAACCAAAAAACATTGTGTTTTTTTTGTTTTTTACAATGAAAAACAAAAAACTTATGGAAAACAAAACAAAACAAAAAAAATACGAAATATTGCCAGGACCTCCCCAGGGATTGGTTTTTTGGTTGTTTGGTTTTCCTTCGTGTTTTTTTTTCCAAAAAAAAAACCCAAAGGAAATCATATTGATGCAGAGCTGAGGTTAGTTATTTCAGTTGGCCCATTGCGTCAGGTCCCAGAGAACGTACCAAAACCATAGGAAGTCCTCGAATTCGAGACCCCTCCCTTTTTAGGATTTTTGGGGGGTCTCGAACTCACGCGAAAATGACACTGTTGTGCTTTATGTGTTTGTTTTGTTGTTCAGATTTTATATCATTTTACATATGTTCTGTTATTCTGTCGGATATTCACATTTGGTTCAGATTATGCATAGAAAAGAGATAGGATTTCAAATATGATACGAGTTCTCTAGCTATTGGGGGAGGGGTGAAACTATAAACTAGTGTTGAATGTCAGGTTTGTTGCGAGCGTTTCGGTTTCAATATGTCCGTTGATAGCCGGTTTGACTCAAGCCTCGCATAGCCTCGGCAGAGCCTCCACGACCCTCGGCACACCACACAGAAGAGCTGGCAAAACTCAACCATGAAATGGCACATCTTGAGTAACAGCTCTATCACAACTCATTGAGAAGATGTGAGATTGCATCCTTGCGATTTCCGAAGGTATTGCATCCTTACCGAGATTTGATAAATGGTTTCCCCTTTTCGGTTTCTAAAAAATGATGTGTCATTTCATGGTTGAGTTTTGTCAGCTGTTCCCGGGGGCTGGCATGGTGTTCGACATCACCACGTTCCGGCCCGCCTCGAAAACGCCGCCTCAGCCGCTAGCGCGCAGCGCGACGGACGCGCTGCGCGCGGCGCTGAAGCAGCAGCAGCAGCAGCAGCAGCCGCAGCCCTGCGCAGCAGCAGCGGACCAGCAGGAGCAGCAGCAGCCCCTGCCCAAGAAGCGCCCGAAGCCGAACCAGCTGCAGGAGCAGCAGGAGCAGCCGCAGCCCCTGCCGAAGAAGCGCCCGAAGCCGAACCAGCAGCAGGAGCAGCAGGAGCAGCAGGACGACGCGGAAAAGCTAGAGAAGTTGATTCAGAAGAACCATGTGGCTCTCCTGGTGCTAGAGAAGGGGGAGCCGCCCGCGCACCTCCTCGAGCAGTAGGCAGTAGGGCAAGCCGCAGAGAGAGGGGGGAGGAAGAGGAGGAGGGACGCCAAGGAGAGGAGGGAGGGGGGAGAGAAAGGAAGGAGGGGGAGGAACAGAGAGAAGGAGGAGGAGCAAGGGAAGGAGAGAGGACGACAGACGAGGAGAAAAAAAAACAGACAGAAACAAACAAACGAAAGGAGCAGCAGCGACGGCAGCAGCAGGAGGAGCAGCAGCAGGAGCAGGAGGAGCAGCGGGAGGAGGAGCAGCAGCAGGGGCAGCAGGAGGAGCAAAAGGGCTCTGGCTCGCACAAGACCCGCTCTGGCTCTGGCTCGAAGGGCGAAAAAAACAAAGAAGGAGAGGCCAGCGCCATTCCGCCGCCCCTCAGAAGGAGCGCGTGCTTGCGACGATCGTGGAAGTTATATCATCGACCAGGAGCTTTTTTGACGCCTGCAAAAGGGCAACAAAAAAAGCTCCGGGGGGCTCTGAGACCGCCTTGAAGGAGGGCGCGCTTGCGACGATCGTGGAAGTTATAGTATCGACCAGGAGCTTTTTTGATGCTTGCAAAAAGGCAACAGAAAAAGCTGTGGAGAGCTCTGGAGACCGCCTTCCAAGGCAAGACTTGAAATAACATGTCATACTATAGCCTTTGAGGCCATAAGAGCCCCTCGGGTGGGTCTCCTGGGTCACCAGCAAGACTTCTGCAGCCGTCTTGGAGCTTTCGGGGGCTGGCTTAGAATCATGAATTTTGGTTCCGTGCGTATCATAATCATCAGTGTTGTATTATTCGATTCATCATTTGTTCTCATATGATCATCCTTCTTTGCTACAGCGCATATGTTTCGCTATCATTCCGTAGCCAGCCGGCTCAAATTTATTGGTGTGTGTTTGTTTTATAGCTTCTGTCTATCAAATGGCAAAAGCAGTGATATTTGAAGATGCGAGTAAATTCAATTCATGCACTGAGTTATACAAGTATTACCAGGGAAGCCAAATTGATGCAGCGAGAACTGGGCGAGCATTTCTTGACGATCTAATGAGCGAAAACCCAGATACCTTTCTCATAAATGTTGTTAGGCAATTGCCTCCCACAAACGACGGGGGCTTTTGTCGTCGAGCAGCAAACTTTTGGGTGGCGCTTTGGATAGACAGAGCTCAAAGAAATACACGTGAAGATATATCAGATTCTCGCGTGTCTCAATCTGTTGAGAAGGTGCGGAATCACAAATTTGTTCTGTCTGAGTTGCATAGCAAAACAGGCAAGTTACAAAAATGTGCACTTACAAAAGCAATGGAAAACAGCGCGTGGTGTATCTCTTCAATTATGAATTTGTTTCAGATTCGCAATCCTCGTGTTCAGTGGGATCCTGTACCTAAAGCATTGCGCGAATATGTAAAAGGACTCAATTTAGAGAGATGTACACCCAGGAGGATTAACAATTATGCTTTGTATGATAGCCAGCGGACGTTCTTCATCTCTGTCAAAATTATGACAATAACCAACAATCAAACAATGTTTTGACAATGAGTGGAGCAATCTTACAGTCGACAGAATGCGATACGTCATCTTGACTGCAGAGAATGAAAGCAAAGGATTGAAAATTGCAGAAGGTTCAACATCTGAAGTGAAACGTAGTGCTCTGCTTTACGGGTACCACACTGACTGGGTACGAGACTTCATGCGGGAATTCGATGCAACGGAGAAGATATTTGAATCGTTTGCATAATCCTTCAAAAAACTTTCAAAGGTGACAGGCATTGGAGCATTCAGGGCAGTACATATTCTTCTTTGGATATTTATTGCATATGATGCCGAGATTGACGTGCCGGACGAAATGCTATACGATTTAGCAGGGCCAAATGTCAGATTGATGGAAAAGATGCGTCAATATGCTGGGCTCACTGATAAACAGCTATATAAAAAGGTAAAGGAAGAGCTGCCGCATATGGAACCAGTCGAATATGAAGTCTGGACGTGCAAAGTCGTTAATTTTATGTTTCTCTTGAATATGATGGAACAGCCAAGATTGTGTTATCGTTCATTGAAAAAAGGAAGAATTGGTTAAGCCAGACAGGCGGCTAACCAAAAAGCAGAGGATTGGGTAGATTACGATTGCATCGTATATGACACTGTTGTCACGCAATTTGACTTGTGCACTTGAGACTTTGCTGATGCATTGATAAAGCGCTGTGTAGAAAAGAGATTGCACTTATGTGACAGATCTTATATGCAGACAGCTGATGCTATTCCGCCAGCCCTCAGATTCTTAGAATTTGCGATGTATAGCATTTCCGAATGGAAATGGCAAACAAGAAAAATTGTCAAACAGATATTATGTTTTAGTCGACCTTCTGTTTTTAATGAAATTATGTGTTTTTATGTTTCAAACGTTAGAATTATGGTAAAAACGCGTTTCGTCATCGGTTCCCTAAGTGCGAATTATGTCGCACTTCCTAATGAAAATGGCAAACAAGAAGATCGTTAAAAAAACTATTATGTTTATCTTGGTATTCTTTTTTTAATAGGAATATGTGTTTTTTTCGGTTTCAAACGTTAGAAGTGTGAAGAGGATGCGTTTCCTTATCGTTTCTCTAAGTATGAATTATATAGTATTTCCTAATGGAAATGATAAACTAGGAAATATGTGAAAAAATATGTTGCGCGGTTTGTTCTTCTGTTGCTTTATGAAAATAATTGGTTTTCTGTTTGGAACCGCAGAATAGTGGTAACAACGCAATACTTATCAATTGTTGTTTAATGCGTTCTGCGATTTTCTTTAAAATGCTTGCTTGGGTGCGTTTGTTTTAAGTTGTTGTTGTTTTTTTCTTTCTGCCGTGCGCTTTGCAAACAATAGCAAAACACAGTGTGTTTTGATAGGTTTCTATACAAAGTGATAGTTTCGCCTCGATGAAACGTTCAGTTTTGATAATGTGCGGGCTGTGAAAACCAGCCCGCGCAGCGTTCCCCTCTCTCTCTTTCTCTCTCTCTCTCTCTTTTTTTGTTTCTCTCTCTCTCTCTCTTTCTCTCTCTCTCTCTCTCTCTCTCTCTCTCTTTCTCTCTCTCTCTCTCTCTCTCTCTCTCTCTCTCTCTCTCTCTCTATATATATATATATATATATTACATATATATATGTATATATACATATAATACATATATATATATATATATATATATATATATATATATATATATATATATATATATATACATATATATATATATATATCCATCTCCATATCCATATCCATATCCATATCCATATCCACATCAACCGCCCGCTGGGGCACCGCGACGTCGGCCCCCAGGCGGCGGCCATGGAATCCCCGCCTCGCAGCTGTTTTGCGCCGCCCGAGCTGCTGAACGGGCTCTGGCCCTGAACCCCGCTCTCTCTCTCTCTCTCTCTTTCTCTCTCTCTCTCTCTCTCTCTCTCTCTCACTCTCTCTCTCTCTCTCTCTCTCTCCGGCGCCGGACCTGCGGCACGAGGTCACACGTCTCTGTCCACCACTGCTGCCCACGCGGAACGCGGACGCGGAACGCGGACTCCACCACTCTCGGACCACCACTGTCTCCACCACTGTCTCGGACTTGCTGGACGCGGAACTCGGTCACACGCGGACAGTGCGCACGAGGGTCACTCTTGCTGTAGGGGTCCCGCCCCTTTGTTGCCGCCAGCGGCCAGGAACGCATGCCCTGCAGGGCCCTCGGTCTGGCCCCTGCCGACGCGGGGCCCGCAGGGGGAGCCGCGAGCCGCCTCGCGGGGTCTCTGAAGCAACGAGCGCGGTGTGGCGCTCTGGCCTACCACGTGCGCAGTCCGCGCGGCTGGACGGGCCCTGCTCCTAGATCCCGCGCGCGTCCGCCCGAAAAACCCTGCTCGGGGCCGCGCTGCTGCTGCCTCGTGCCAGCCGCGGAGCTGGACAGACTCGAGCTTCCGATCCCGCCCACTCGGGGCCTCGAGCCAGCCCACGAGTCGGTGCGCACAGCCTAGGCTTTCGTGGGCGTGGTCGCCCACGCCAAAGTCGTGCTGCTGCTCAATGTTGGACTCTGCCGAGCGTCTTCGAGGAGCCGAGAGTTTGGCATCTCTTCCTCTTCGGCGGCGGAGGCAAAGTGAGGGCGGCTCCGCCGACGGAAGCTGGCGGAAAGTAAGAGTTTCAGGAGGGAGAAAACACACACAGACACGATTAGTCGTCGATTCCCAGAAAATATGGGAAAATATGGGAAGTGGGGGGGAAGACAAAAACCCACAAAATATGCGAAGATCTGGGGAATCCTGTTTACTTGTGCCTATTTATTTCTGTGTCCCAGGGCCCCTTCAAAGAGCCGCACCCCGACGGCGCATCGGCTGGTCTGAGCCGTCCCATCCAGATGGAGGGGGGGGCCGCGCTTCCCATCCCAGGGCCCCATCAAAGAGCCGCGCCCTGCCGTCCCATCCATCGGGGCAGCCGCGGGTCGGCCCTGCTCCGGAATGGAGGAGGGAGGCAGGGGAGGCAGAGGAGGGATGCGGAGTGGGAGGCAGGTCTTGCTTCGAGAAGTATCCGCGGCAGAAACACATGCATGGAAGAATGCGTGCAGACCCCGAGCCGACACGGTGCCTCGGAGAGCAAGCGCCGGGCCCTTCGTTCCGGAGCCGCGCGAGGGACAGCTGCATCTTTGCTCAAAGGGAGGGCTCCTGGGGCGGGCCACATGTGCGCACGCACGCGTTCGCACGAGGGCCCGACGTTGACGAGGTTGTCGTGCCAGCTGGCGACCGGGCCCTCGACGGCCGCGCTCGCGTTCGCCGGTCCTTCGGGCCCTGCGGCCCGTCCCTCCAGGAGGCCGTCGAGAGCGCGGCGCTCTGCAGCACGCGGGGTTGGCGTCGGCGCTGTGCCCTCGAGGGCGCTCTTGGCCTGGCCCGCCCGGGCGTCGCGAAGAGGCACGGCGTGCGCTTCTGCCCCAGCCCGGGGCAGCCGCGGATCGGCCCTGATCCAGAAGGAGGGGGGAGGCAGAGGAGGTGGAGGAGGGAGGCGGAGTGGGAGGCAGGTCTTGCTTCGAGAGGCATCCACGGCAGAGCTTGCGCGGTCGATGGCAGCGCGTCAGCTACATGCCTATGGCGCTCAAACGTGCAGGAGAGAGGCGGGTAGAGGGAAGAGCAACAGGAGAAGGGTTAATGAGGGGGAGATGGGAGGAGGGTGGAGGAGAGCGTTGTTGACAGTGGATCTGCAACATACTCAGCAAGGATTCGTGACGAGTGCGTGAATTGATTCCTACCATCACTGCGTGTGGTTAGCTTGCGTATTAGTTAGAACCTTGAACCGAGTGGTCTTGTCCGTGGAATCCTGAGACAATCGGAGGGCAATCGGTCACGTGATTCGTAAGGACTGCCAGCGAGTGGCATGTATGAGGTTCTGGAATGATAGGAAGTTGTGTCTACAACTGAGTATGGCAGCCTATGTTTCCACAGCTTGGCATTCATGTGGAAGGATTCGCCAGCCTCATCTGCGTCATCCGCATGTGCAAAGCCGTGTATCCTTCCAGCTGGTAGGACATTGTGTGTCGGCCCTCAGCTCAAACTCGGTATTTTTACGCACCTGCCACGTCAGGAAGTAGTCGGGTATAGCCAGGGCTTCGGTTAAGGGGAGCCGGTTAGTGATTGGGCCCCGAAGCCCAAAATATGGATTGGAATCACCAAACCAGGTCTGCCGTAGTTGGTGTTTTTCGGGTGACGGCAATTCCGGTTAGTGGAATGAGACGGCGGGGGACGCCCTCGGTACAGATCACTATACCAGGTCCCACTAAACCCAGTCTTGCCATCGCCTGAATTAGAAATTGCTTTCAGATGATATCAACATGGCACGGGCAGAGTTCATCGAGGACGAGGTGCGAGAGGCTCCGCCGGGCCGAAAGCCTTTGCGGCTATTGCGGCAGCATGTTTCGATCGAGGGGGAGGTTGGGATGCGCTGCAGTGCTCTCCTCCTTGCCCCTTCTTGAGCAACGATTTGTGACGACGTTTCTGTGACAGCTGCTCGTGTTCGCGGCGCTTATGATGTCCAGCAAGTTCAGGGATTATTTCAGGAACGTCGCATCTCACTCCTTCGCGGTGAAAGAAACCGATGCTTTGATTGCGGGGGACAGAGGATCACTAGAGTGAGCCGATGGCGGCGGGGCAATGGTGCGCAAGAGGCAGGCCGATTGTGGACTAATGTGGAGACGGATCCGCGGCTGGAAGTACGAGCAGCATGTTCTTCTCAGTTGACGGATGAGCTAAGATGTTACCAGCGCGGTGACGATCCACAGGGCAACAGAGCCACGGGATACTCAAGGCGCGGGTCCTCTCTGGACGGGACCCCATAGCCAACCACTTCCACCCAGACGGGCGGGAAACCATCGGACATTGCGTAGACCAAACGGCCACTGCGTCCCATCGGCGGGGCCACACGAGCGGGAACTTGTGGCCAGGATCGGTTGGCCCCCCACGCTCATTGGGCTCAGGGTGGGGCCCTGTGGGCGGGACCTCTCCGGGAGACTGCCGGGCTCCCAGGGCAGGCATGCCGCCAGGGAAGCGCTCGACCCCCCCCGCGCACGGAGGGCACACCATAGTCGGGGCAGGCGCACGGGGTGGATTGGGAAACGGGGAGGCGAATTTGGTACATGACGTTGGCAGCAGGGTCTCGGCTCCTCCGCCCAACGCACTCCTCGATACTCCCAGACGACGACGACGACGACGACGACGACGACGACGACGACGACGACGACGACCGCTACCACGACCACGACCACGACCACGACCACGACCACCACGACGACCGCGACGACCACGACGGCCCCGACCACGACGGCGACCACGACGGCCACGACCACGACGGCGACCACGACGGCGACCACGACGACGACCACGACGGCGACCACGACGATGACCACGACGACGACAGCGACGACGACCGCGATGACGACCGCGACGACGACCACGACGACTACCACGACGATCATGACCACGACCACGGCGACGGTAATGACGATGTGACGATGGCGACGGGACGGCGATGGCGACGGCGACGGCGACGGCGACGGCTACGGCGACGGCGACGGCGACGGCGACGAACGACGAACGACGAACGACAACGACGGCGACGACGACGAATGAAGACGACGACGACGGCGACGACGACGACGATGACGACGACGGCGACGTGGGCGACGGCAGAACCCACGCGACAATGGAGGACGCCACGGGCGTGCGTAGGTGACCCGCCGTCGTCGTCGTCGTCGTCGTCGTCGTCGCCGTCGTCGTCGTCGTCGTCGTCGTCGTCGTCGTCGTGGCCGTGGTCGTCGTGGTCGTCGTGGTCGTCGTGGTCGTCGTGGTCGTCGTCGTCGTCGTCGTCGTCGCCGTCGTCGCCGTCGTCCGCGGGCGGGGCGCCACGGGCAGGGGGGGGGCCTCGCGGCGCGGGGCCCCGCGCGGTGACTGCCGGGCCCCGCTCGGTGGCTCCGCACGTGGGCCCCTCGGGCCGGGGGCCCCGCGGGGGGTGGGAGCCTCCGGGAGGCTCAGAGCACGGCCGCTCGGCATCGCTCGGACGTGTGCATTTTTTCTCTGCGAGAAGCATCGAGGACCATCCTGGACCATCGAGCAAAAAGAACACGCACGAAGCCGAAAAATGCACGGGAAATGGACGTAGGAGCGACGGCAAGGCCGTGCATCAACAATGGTTCGGATCGCGGGGGCTCCAGTGGCACGGGTGCACGTGCGTTGCGCCGCCGGTGGTGCCAAAGCCCTCTGTGCGAAATGCCTCTGTGTGCGTCTCTTCTGGCTCCCACTCCCGCGCGGGCGGCGGCGGAGCCCCCTGGCGGACACGCCGCGGGGCCCTGCGGCATGGGACTTTGGCCAGCGGGTGGCCGGCTCTCCTTGCCAGCCGTGGAGGGCAGGGGGTCCTTGAGGGCGGCAGGGCGTCCAGAGGTCTTGCGCCGTGGTTGGGCTCCCGGGGCCCCCTCCGCGGGCCCTGGGGCCGTCAGGCGGCGGCCCAGGATAGGGAACTGGCCCCAGGAAGAGGCCCCGGGTTCCCAGGCCCGTCTCCCTCAGGATGTGCGGCCGTCATGCCAGTCGCTGCCTCGCCCGCCCGACCCCTCCCCTCGCCAGGATGTTTCCAGGGCTGGCGGGGGCGCCCGAAGGTACCGGTCAGCACGCTTGCCCGAAGATGTTTCCCGCCTCCCCTCATACCTTCTCCTATCCCTCGCCCTCACCTTTCCGCAGGGGAGGAGAGGTAATGGGGAACGATGAGAGAGAGCCCTAAGCGGAAGGCTTCCAGAGTGGGAGGGAGACAAGTGGAATGGTTCGAGAGAAGGAGGAGGAGGAGGAGGAGGAGGAGGAGTAGGAGGAGGAGGAGGAGGAAAAGGAGTAGGAGGAGGAGGAGGAGGAGAAGGAGCAGGAAGAGGAAGAGGAGGGGGGAGGAGTAACACGAGGCGGAGGCAAACGAGTAGTAGGAGGAGGGGGAGGTGGTGAAGGTGGAGGTGTTGGAGGAGAAGGAGGAGGAGGAGGAGGACGACGAGGAGGAGGAGGAGGAGGAGGAGAAGGAGGAGGGAGGACGAGGACGAGGAGGAGGAGGAGGGGGAGGAGGAGGAGAGGAGGAGGAGGAGGGGTCGAGGATGCCGAGGAGGAAGATCCTTAGCCGCGGACGTCCCCCGAGGTCCACGACGCCCCTGGTGGCCGCCCCGAGACCCGAGAATTGCCAAGAGCATGTGGAAGCCCACCGACGACGCACCAAAACATATCGATCCTCGAGCTTCGAGGGCCGAGGGCTCAGCTCGGCGGGAGGGGGCGGAGGGCGAGGGGGGATGCAGCTCTGCGCCGTGCGCCCCGCCAGGCAGACATCCAGGTCGCGCGGTCGCTGAGGCGCGCGGGGGGAGGGGGGGAAGGAGCCGCGCGGTCGCTCCTCTTCCTTCCTTTCCCTTCCCTTCCTCCTCCTCCTCCTCCTCCTCCTCCTCCTCCTCCTCCTCCTCCTCCTCCTCCTCCTTCTCCTCATCCTCCTCCTCCTCAAAAAAGCAGGGGGAGGAGGAAGAGCGAGCAGAAAGAGTAGTAGGAGGAGGAAGAGGAGGAGGAGGAGGAGGAGGAGGAGGAGGAGGAGGAGGAGGAGGAAGGGGGAAGGAGAAAGGAGAAAGGAAGAGGAGGACAAGAAGGAGGAGAAGGAGTTCCTCCTCCTTCTTCGTCACTATTGACCTAATCCGCATCCATCCTCCATCCGTCCTCCTCCTCCTCCTCCTCTCCTCCTCCTCCTCCTCACATCATCATCCTCATCATCATCATCATCATCATCATCATCATCATCAGCATCATCATCATCAGCATCATCATCAACATCATCAACAACATCATCATCAGCATCATCAGCATCATCATCATAATCCTTATCCTCATCCTCATCATCATCATCATCTCAGCATAATCAGCATCATCAGCATCAGCAGCATCATCATCAGTATCAGCATCGTCATCATTATCATCATCATCATCATCATCATCATCATCATCATCATCATCATCATCATCATCATCATCATCATCATCAGCCGCAGCAGCATCATACTATTCCTTCTCATATGTTTTCCAGCCATCCTGTGGAGTTGGGTCCTCGTTTTGAAGACACAGCGCCCCGCGTCCACTCCACACTCCCCCTCTTCCCTCATCCAAGTCCTGCGTCCACTCTCACACGTGCCGTCACCACCATTAGCGTCGTCATCATCATCATCATCATCATCATCATCATCATCATCATCATCATCATCATCACCATCTGCAGCATCATCATCACCATCACCATCACCAGCACCAGCACCATCACCATCACCATCACCATCACCATCACCATCATCCACATCGTCATCAGCATCGTGCATCTGCCCTCCGCATGTCAATTCCGGGACATCCCATCACGGGTTCCGTGGCCCCATCGGGAGCTCCACAGAAGGCCCGAATGGGTGTGACCAAATGCGGCGCCACACCCATTTCGGCACATCCCTCACGCGGTTCGTGGCCCCGTTGACAGCTCCACCGACGGCCCCAGCGGCAGGGTCCGCATGCGTCCCCCCGCCCATGTTGGGGCACCCTTCACACGGTTCGTGGCCCCATAGGGAGATCCACCGAAAGCTCCAGTGGCAGGGTTCTGCATGCGTCCCCCCGCCGAGTTGGTACACCCCTCACACGGCCCATGATCATATAGGGAGCTTGACCGAAGGCCCGAATGGCAGGGTCCGCATGCGTCCCCCTGCCCATGTTGGCGCATCCCTCACACGGTTCGGGGCCCCATAGGGACATCCACCGAAAGCCCCAGTGGCAGGGTTCGTGGCCCCGGATGGAGCTCCACCGACGGCCCCAGCGGCAGTGTCCGCATGCGTACCCCCGCCCAGTTTGGCATTCCCTTCACACGATCCGTGGCCCCGTAGACAGCTCCACCGACGGCCCCAGCGGTCCGCATGCGCCCCCGCCCATTTTGGCGCACTTGTCACACGATTCGTGGCCCCATAGGGAGATCCACCGATAGCAACAGTGGCCCCAGCGGCAGGATCCGCATTCGTCCCCCCACCCAGTTTGGCACGCCTTTCACACGGTCCGTGGCCCCGTAGGCAGCTCCACCGACGGTCCCAGCGGCAGGGTCCGCATGCGTCCCCCCGCCCAGTTTGGCACACCTTTCACACGGTTCGTGGCCCCATAGGGAGATCCACCGAAAGCCCTAGTACCCCAGCGGCAGGGCCCGCATGCGTACCCCCGCCCATTTTGGTACACCTTTCACACGACTCGTGGCCCCGTAGGCAGCTCCACCGACGGCCTCAGCGGCAGGATCCGCATTCGTCCCCCCGCCCATGTTGGCGCACCCCTCACACGGCTTGTGTCCCCATAGCGACATCCACCGAAAGCCCCAGTGGCAGGGTTCGTGGCCCCAGATGGAGTTCCACCAAAGGCCCCAGTGACAAGGTGCGCTTGCGTCCCCCGCTCATTTTGGCGCACCCCTCACGGGGCTCTTGGCCTCATTGGGAGTTCCACCGAAGGCACCAGCGGCAGGATCCGCATGCGCCCCCCCCGCCCACTTTGTCACACCCATCACACGGCCCATGATCAGCTAGGGAGCTCCACCGAAGGCCCCAGTGGCAGGGTCCGCATGCGTCCCCCCGCCGAGTTGGTACACCCCTCACACGGCTCATGATCATATAGGGAGGTTGACCGAAGGCCCGAATGGCAGGGTCCGCATGCGTCCCCCTGCCCATGTTGGCGCATCCCTCACACGGTTCGGGGCCCATAGTGAGCTCCACCGACGGCCCCAGCGGCAGGGTCCGCATGCGTCCCCCCGCCAATGCCGGCACACCCCTCACATGGTTCGGGGCCCATAGTGAGCTCCCAGCGGCAGGGTCCGCAAGCGTCCCGCCGACCAGTTTGGCGCACCCCTCACGCGGTTCGCGGCCTCGTAGAGAGCTCCACCGAAGGCCCCAACGGCAGGGTCCGCATGGCTCCCCCCACACCTCTCACACGGTTCGTGGCCCCATAGGGGGATCCACCAGAGACCCTAGCGGCAGGGTCCGCATGCGTACCCCCGCCCATGTTGGCACACCCTTTACACGGCTCGTGGTCCCATAGGGAGATGCACCGAAAGTCCCAATGCCAAGGTCCGCATGCGTCCCCTCCCATGTTGGCATCCCTGATACATAGGTCGGCCCCAGAGGGAACTCCACCGAAAGCGGCACCCACAACAATTGCATACGATTGGGTCTTTCGCCAGGATGATGCGTTTTGATTCCGCATTTTCTCCTGTCAGCCTTCCCCTTTCATCCTTGCCCGCTTCCCGCACCTTCCCGCGGTTGTGCGACACAAGCCAGAATGCATGAATCACATCTGTAAGTCGTTTCCCCTCTCCCTTCTCCTCTACCTCCTCTTCTCGTCCTTCTTTCCTGCGACGCGTTCTCCACATCCTCCTTCTGTTTTTTCCGCCCCCTCTGCATATCCGTGGCAGAGCAGGGGGTGCAAGGCTTACACTCGGAGAGCCTGTTGATTGCGAAGGCGGTTCGGTTAGTTGTGGACGTGCGGCTAAAAGCGGCGACGCTCAACATAGGCGACAGCTCGACAAAGAGAGGGAGGGAGTAGGGTCGGACCGAGGTATAAGATCGAGGCCCGTTCGGGGAGGGTACCCCAATGTTTTTCGTGGCTGGGTGTTATTGTACATGTTGGGGGGCGGTGATCTTATGGTCTGGGGTGTTTTGGCTGGCGGAGGGTCTCATGTTCTTGAAGGATGTGTGTCTGTCTTAGGTCTGGCTGTATCTGTTACCCGCAGGGACGCGGGTATGGCCGCGATTCGCGCTTCGCGTCTTGGGACAGGGAGGTCGTCTTCTCCAGAGGGTGGCGGGAGAGCGCAAACGTAGCAACGTTTCCCGGAGCGCGAAGTTCGAAGTTGGGTGACCCAGGGGGTATTGGCGACGCGCTCTCTCTCTCTCTCTCTCTATCTATCTCTCTCTATCTCTGTATGCATCGGGCCCTCGGGGAGAGGCAGGAGGAAGAGGAGGAAAAGGAGGAGGACGACGACGACGACGGCGACGATAGGGGCGAGGAGCAGCAGCAACATCAGCAGGAGGAACAAGGGGAGGGTGGAGGGAGGTACGGAAGGAAGGAAAGAATGAAGGAAGGAAGGAAGAAAGAGGAGGAGGAGGAGGAGGAGGAGGAGGAGGATCGAGAATGATCGAGGAAAGGGCGGATCGATGAGGAGGATCGAGGAGAAGGAGGAGGATTGAGAAGCGGGAGGCGGCGGAGGAGGAGGAGGAGGAGGGCCCCGCCTGCCCGCTGGAGACCGCTGGTCCAAGAGTGGCGCCAGCTTGTGGAGGGAACGAAGTTCGAGCGCTTCGAGGCGTCTCGACCGCCCAGCCGCCGAGGGGACGTGGTCGTCGTTGTGATTATCCTCCTCCTCCTCCTCCTCCTCCTCCTCCTTCTTCTCCTCCTCCTCCTCCTCCTCCTCCTTCCTCCTCCTCCTCCTCCCCTCCCCTCCTCCTCCTCCTCCTCCTCTCCCCTCCTCCTCCCCCTCCTCCTCCCCCTCCTCCTCCCTCCTCCCCTCCTCCTCCTCCCCCCCGCCTCCTCCTATGCCTCCTCCTCCTCCTCCTCGCTCCTCGTCCTCTCTGCCTCCTCCTCCTCCTCCTGCTCTCCCTCCTCCTCCTCCTCCTCCTCTCTCCTCTTCCTCCTCTCCTCTCCTCCTCCTCCTCCTCCTCCTCCTCCTCCTCCTCTCCTCCTCCTCCTCCTCCTCCCGTCCTCGGAGTAACAAAGACCCGTGGCAAGACGCTGCACAGAAGGAAAGGCTTGAACAATTCCGCTCCGAGATCGAGAAGCACCTGGCCATTCAAGTTGCCGACGCGGCTGAACAGTTCAAGGCCACCGCAGAGAAAGTTGCCGCTTCGTCTCAGGCCAGCTTCATCACGCACATCACCAGCATCACAGCCAAGCTCACCGAACGCCAGGACCACGTCGAGAACGACATCGTCTCCCTCAAGCAGCGCGTCTCCGCCTCTGAAGTGGCGTCCAAGAACCTCAACGAAGCGGTGGACAAGATCAAGATCGCCATCGCCCACGCTGAAGCCCAAGTTCCCTCCCTCGATGTCAGCAACATCGGCTCGTGGGACAGGGCCCACACATCGGCACCTTCTGGATCGCATCCACCGTGGACATCACTCAAGCATCTCTCAAGGCGGCCATCGCAGAGTGGTTTTTGGCAGCCAATATCGACGTGTCCATGGTTCGCTACAACAACTCCGCGCCTGCCAAGCGCGTCTCCATCACTGTACTCGGAGCCGACGCCGTCGCCGTACCACGTGCTCAAGCTCTTCACCATCACCTCCGCATTGGACGGGAATGGCGTATTTTCACGATCGGCGGCGCCCCATGCTACGTCAGCGCAGACAAGAGCCCCAAGCTCGTCAGACAGGAGATCCAGCTCAAGAAGCTGGCAAGGATCATCAACAACGCCAAGCAGGACCTCAACCCCAAGATCCACCGTACCGATGGCTACCTCTCCATCGACAATGTGCCCATTGTCCGCATCCAAGTGGGCTCCCGCCCTGAGATGGCGACCAAGATTCAATGGTCTGATGCTGCTGAAGGTGTCGGCCTTACATCTGCGATGCGATCTTCGTGCGCCGACGCCCTCTCCGCTGCCTTCGCGGATGCAACCACATCAGTGTCGTGGATTTAATAGCAAATGGACTCCTTGGAGCGCGACTACCACGTCATCTTTGACTGAGTGCTCGGTGGTCAGCTGGAACGCCCAGGCCCCGGTGCACTCAAACATCGTCAAGCGCGACGCCAAGCTCTCCATCCTCAAGCCTTACCTTGCCAAGCGATCGCTCATCGCCATTCAGGAAACTCACGGCACCTCCCAGATGATCCACACCCTCATCAACTCCACGGGCGCAAAGTACGACGTCTACCACAGCGGCATCCCCGACTCCAACGCGGCGGGCGGCGTCGCCTTCCTCATCCCAAAGTTCATCCCCTGCGGCGACCAGGACAACACCAAGCCGATGATCAACTTCTCCGCGGTCATCCCTGGCCGAGTCGCCGAACTGCGAATCCGTGACCCCAGCCTGAAGTACCTCCATATCTACCTCAACATTCATAACCATGATCCATCTGCTGACGACCGAAGGCGGATCAAGGCCACGTGGCAAGTGGCAATGAATGAAGCAAGCAGCGACCCTGAACACGTTTTGTTCTTCATGCTCGGCGACTTCAACATCTCTGAGCTACCTGCCCGCAATCTACTACGTCCTGTCGAAGTGCCTGCTCAAGAACGATATCAGTTCCAGCCCACCTTCTGGAAGCAGCTCTTCCGACCGCTGGTCGAGATCTGCACGCCATCCACCACCCACCGCTGCTGCGCGAACAACACTGAGTCAAGCATTGATCGCTTCTTCACCTCCTTCCAGGCACATAATCTCACCCATATTGAGACGATCATGGTTGCCGACGACTCGCCACTCGAACGGAAAGGAATACCTGCCAGTGACCACAAACTCCTTCATGCCCGATTTCGCCCCCGAGCTCAACGGCCCCATGCTGAACGAGGCACCCCCGCCTACCTCTTCAACTCCGATTTCTACAAGTTCTTCATCGACAAGCTCTCCGCCGACACCGAATACGAATCGCTCACGCCCATCACCAAGTGGCGCACGCTGAAAGCCAACATGGCGAACGCTGCGGAATCCACGCGAGATGCTCTTGCGCGGCTACCGCCTGAAGTCCTTGCACGCGGCCATCTCTCGATCTCCAAGGAAGTCAACTCGATGACCATGAGAAGCATCTCCCGCGCGGTCTGGTACCAGGACATCAAACTTGCGCGCGTCCTCATCGACACCACCCGCCTGGGCTCCAAGCATTCACAGATCATCACCGACAGCACTACCGACTTCCCTTCGAGCAAGGTCTGCCTCAGCAACGCCAACGCCTTCGCCGATGCCGCTGCTGAAGTTCATGCTGCTGTCGCGGAAGAACGTCGCGCCCTCGCTGCCGCGCGTGCCCGTGATGCTTACCAACGTCTACAGCGTCAACAAGGGGACAGGTGGCGGAAACGGGCCAGTGCTACACGCAGACTGGGAGAGCTTTGGAAGCCCTTCTCCAAGCGTCTGGCGCTCGCTGGTATTCGAATCTCGCAAGGCGACTCCTCCGTCATCGCCAGGACGCCGTCGGACATGCACGACGCCATACTAGCACACTGGGGCCCGATCTTCGCAGACAAGCCGGTGAACACTGCAAACATGAACACCTACCTGGGCTCCGTCTTCCCCCAGCGTGACCGAGTTGCGCTGGAACTCCCCAACGTTGAAGAACTTCAAGAAGCAGCAAAACGAGCACATGACTCCGCCGCAGGCCCAGACGGCCTTCCTTACAAAGCATGGACATCTACCCCCAACAGCTTCGAGATCCTGGACGAGCTCGTGGCTAACATCTCGGCCAACGACATCATCCCGCACGATTGGAACCACGCTCTACAAGCCATGCTACCAAAAGGTGATGCACCTGCTGGGCATGCTGAATGCTATCGGTCGCCAGGCCAACTCCGCCCTCTCGCGATGAAGAACACCGATGTCAAGATTGCTGCCTCCGCCATCAACCGCAAGCTACATCCGATAGTCAAGCAAGTGTCGAGTATCCAACGAGGCTTCGTACCTGGCCGCCAACTCCTCAACAACATAGTCGAAGCCGACACGTACAGCCGCATCTACAGCACCATGGACAACGCCGCCGAGCACATGCCGTGCTTCCTCAGTATGGACATCGCCGCTGCCTTCCCAAGCCTGCTCCACACTTGGTTATGGGAAGTGATTCGCAGATGGGGGATTGATGGCCGCGTCCGTCGCCTCCTCCAGTCCTTCTACGCCTCGCCCATCGCCTTCCTCGAGCTGGGAGGCACGCGTCGACCATTACTCGTTGCAGCCAGAGGAGTAGCTCAGGGCTGCCCACTCAGTGGCACCATCTGGGCTCTGGTGTTCGACCCCATCCTACGTGGAATTCAACGCCATTTTCATCAGATTGGCCGTGGCATGGCCAGTGCTTGTGCCGATGACATTGGCTGCGTCTTAGCACACTTGCGTGACATGCAAGGCATCCTACCGCATACCGAGGCGGCCCAATCTTTCGCTGGGTTGTTGCTCCAACCTCAGAAGTGCGTGCTCGTCCCAGTATGGACCGACTGCATCGAAGACGTTGACAGCACCATGCGCGACACGCTCAGGACGATCAACCCCGCATGGGCCCAGTTCAAGATCGACGGCAAGGCCAAGTACCTCGGAGTCTACATCGGTCCCTGTGCTGATGATCGCGCGCAATGGGCCGCCCCTGCGGCCAAGTGGTACCACCGTACCCAGATTTTGGGCGACGCATCCGCGGCCATCCAGATGAACGTTTCGCTATACAACACTTCCGCGATCACCTGCCTCACCTACGTCGGACAACTGTTTCCTGCTCCAGAGCTCGTTCTTTCCAAAGAAATGCATGCCCTTCATAAAGTTATCAGATCTGCTCCATCAGCATTCACCAAGCTCGACATCCTCGGCATGACGAACTGGGCAGGCTGCGCCATCCCTATTGGTGTCGAAGTCCTGCTTGCCGCCACGCTGTGGCGCTCTGCCACTTCCACCATCAACGCCTGGCCCCAGCTACTCGAACTACACCATCTTGCTGCACTCGATCAGATTCCACTCGTCCGAGTTGTCCAGGGACTTTGGACCGCGCCGTGCTGGGCCTCCGCCACTTCGATCGCGCAACACCCGCGGGCGGCCAAGTTCGGCGACAACTACTCCACCACAAGGGCACCATCTTCAAGATCATCAAGCGCAGCCGCCATCACGATCATCTGGCTCACCGTCAGCTACGCCAAGCTCATGAACTCGCTCGTGCTGCTGCTCCTCGGGTCATGGACAAACTTCGCCGTGCTGATGATGACCCTCCAAAGAAATCTCCGCAGACCACTTACATGATCACGCTGCAGCTCTCGCTCTACGAAGATTCCTTCGACGCCACCCTTGCCGCCCGCCTTCGGGCCTGGTTCCCCACCCTCCCGTCGGTGCCGTCTGCTGCCAATCCCGACTCTGGACGCCTCCAACGATTCCCACCACTTCATCTACATGTTCCCAATACGCCAGATGATGATGACCATGACATGCGAAACGCAGCCAACGAGCTCGTGATCATCGCAGAATGCCTGCAGCACCGGGCCTCCGACTGGCCCCCCTCGATTTACCTCGATCAACCACTACATGAATGGGACGTCGACGATTGGCATGGATGGTGCGAAACCTTTATTCTTCGTCATCTCCGTCGAGGCGGTCTTCAAGTCCTATTTCGTGGCCAAACTGATGCTCA